CTTAAGCATCAATGAGAAATATCAAAAATGTTTGGCAGAAAGGTACTTGAAGGAAAAGCCTTTAAAAAATCATAAAAGATGAATATTACAATAATAAAATAGTGAAAGGATGCCAATCAAAGTGGAACAAGGGAAGAACAATAAATGTGTATTTCTCATATTTGGTTTACAAGAGTCTTGATAAAATGATATTATGGACTGGAAAATAAATAAGACTGAATAATTATGGGTTGATTGTATTTCAGATATATGTTTCTCATGGGAATAATATAAGAAATAAAGATCTAAACAGCTTGTCAATTATTTCATAAATTCAGTTCAATTTTTTATCATTCACTTGTATCAGACTGCTTACTATAAGCATTTGAACAACTAAATGTACAAGAAGAGAAGCCTGCAGCTAAAAGACCTGTATGCCATTTATTGTAATTTGGTCAAGGGTAGAGCAAATCAGGGTTTTTGTTCTTTTCCCCCTGGGAAAGTGGGCTTTATTTCTGAAGAAAAATCATTATTAAAAGCTAAGTTTAAGATAAGGAATCCTTGCAGCCTGCAGATATAACTCCTTTTTTGCTCATGTTATTTGTCAAACTGGCAGGTCTTTTCAATATACTATAGAAAGAAAAAGAATCATGTTACAAGCAGGCTTTCTTATCTTCTTTAGTCTTCCCAGTAATGGCTAAACATTGAACAAACTTCTGGGCTAAAAAGTCATTTTGCTTAGTTTTTCAAAACTCTTAAAAATAGATTTTTAAATGAAATCTATATTCATTCATTATCAAGTGTAACTATTTCAAAGGAGATGTATGCCATACTTAACAGTTTTAATTTGTCCTTGCTTGGAGTAAACGGTGGAAGCACATAAATTATAGCTAAAACAGACATTTATAATTAAATATATCATAACAAAAGCATCTGAGATATAAAAGGGTTAGTATATTTGGCTCTAGCCTCATTGATCAAAGTGACTTCAGGGATACCCAACTGTTCACAAATGCACATAATTCTAAATGTTATTGATACAGAAATTGCATTAGAATGAAACACATGAAGATAGCTGAATTTCACTGGAAATTTTAAAAAGAAACATTTGTTTTTTACCAACCAGCCACCCTCATTCAGATAAGCATTTAAGGTTTCAAATTACATGGGGGGGGGAACCAAATAAAATAGTAGTAGCAGTAGCAATAGCAGTTAGACTTATATACCGCTTCATAGGGCTTTCAGCCCTCTCTAAGCAGTTTACAGAGTCAGCATATTGCCCCCACACTCTGGGTCCTCATTTCACCCACCTCGGAAGGATGGAAGGCTGAGTCAACCTTGAGCTGGTGAGATTAGAACCGCTGAACTGTAGATAACAGTCAGCTGAAGTGGCTGCAGTACTGCACTCTACCCACTGCGCCACCTCAGCTCTAAAATCTAAATTCTACTTTAGCTCTATACTAAAATTTGAGATATATGGAAACTTTGTCTCTATCCAAATAAATCTGAGAAGAAAAAATATTATTTTAATTGCCTTTCTCAGTAAAATATGAATTTAGGTCTCTTTGAAATAACTAGCAACGTATTTTAATTTCAGGCATAACATTGATATTTAAGAATAGTGTATTAAGTACTCTTAAAAGAAATATTTAGTTTTGCTAACTGAATGAAAGAATTATGATTTTTTGCTATTGGATCTGCTTTCCTAATGACAAAAAATAGCAATTAATGGCCTTTGCAATTGCTACATTACATTTTGGAAAGCATGTCAATATTTTGCTCAAGTGACTGTATTTAATTAATACTCACACACATATATGTATGTGTATACATAAAATGTGTATATATAGTCACTGTCAATATGAAAAAGTCAAAAATAGCTATGAAAGTCATTTGGATGACTTTGGGCCTGTCACTCTCTCTCATCGCAAACCACCACATTGGGTTGCTATTATAGGGGAAATAGGAGGAGGAGGTATATTAAATATGTTCCCATCTTGAGTTGTAAAATAATAAAGGCAGGATGCAAATAAATAAATAAAAATGCTACATGATCAATAAAAAAACTATCTGACATTTTGTTTCTTTTTTAATAAAATGAATTCTACTTACAAGTAAAAATGACATTACTTACAAAATAGCACTTTTCCCAGAAAGAAAAAACCACTCTACTTTCATTTCATTCGGTTTAATATAGTTAACTTCATTATATTCTACAGCATTCTAACTATTGTTTTCTTACCGTATTTTTCAGAGTATAAGATGCACTTTTCCCCCCCCCCCTAAAAGAAAGTGAAATTTTGGGTGCGTCTTATACACCAAATGTAGCCCTGCCCACCCGCCGCTCATCACCCTTTGGCCTCTGACTCCCAGCAATTTGCCTCCTTGCAGCAAACAGCAAACAAACAGTTTCAGCTTCAGCCCAGCCTGATTAGCACAAGCAGCTGATTGTCAGCCTCTCAACCATCAGCTGTTTCAGGCTGCAAGGTTTGCCATTGCCTATTGCCACTCTCCACATGCCCCATTTTCAGCCTCCGCATCCAATTTTTGGCCTCTGCGCATCCCATTTTTCGCCCATTCTGATCCCCACCAACTGGAACTGGTGGGAAATGGGGCTTGCGGAAGCCAAAAACAGAGTTTGTGGAGGCAGAAATAGCAATCCCTGCAGCCTGAAACAGCTGATCATCAGGAGGCCCCTGCTGAAATTGAAACTGAAACCGGATGTTTGCTGTTTCCTGCAAGGAGGCAAATTGCTGGGAGGCAGAGGCAGATTTTTTCCCCTTGTTTTCCTTCCCAAACTCTAGGTACATCTTATACTGCAAAGTATCTTATGCTCTGAGAATATGGTATATATACAAGGCATACTGTTGAAATGAATACAGTATATTAGTTTAGCTACCAGGCTTAGCACTCCATTTTGAATTTGAAAATAACCTCTAAAAATCATTCAGGCCATTCTAGCTATTAACGCTTCTCCTTTTGATTTCATTTTAAGAGCTCAGTTTAAGTCTCAAAAAGCCAAGTATCCTGAAGAAAGAGTCATCACCAAATAGTCCTCATTAGGACCAGTAACTGGGTCTTTAAATGACGTCATCATTATGGAAAATTGTGACTGCGCCTAGTTTTCTTTGCTGTATAACCCTGTGAAAGTCATAAATGCAAGGATTGATCACCAAGTTACTTTTTCATCAACATTGTAACAGCAACAGTCACTGCACAAGTCCATCACTAAATGTGAACTACCTGTAGTGTCAAAGAAAGAGTTTTACATTCTAAACTTTCTGGGTTCAAATTCCTGCATTTCTCGTTTTCTGGAGAAATATTGGATGTGTGATCTCGGTGAACAATTCCTCCCACTGTAAGGCCAGTGATCAAAGCCTCTATTGGTCATAAAAATATAAAGTATTAATAAAATATGTGTAAGTCTAATGTTCTCTTAATTATTCTAGCTTTTTAATTAAGTAGATATTATAGACTCTGCTCTCTTTTGATATATGCTCATATAGAAACTGAAATTTTCATTTTCTATTATACTTAGGTTCAAGAGATATTCTAAGGAAGTGTTTTTAATTTAGGCTCTAGGAATAGCACAGAAGATTAAACTCACATGTAATTAATCTTCATACAAATATTAAAATTAGACAGAAATTGCATCTGTTTCATTTATATCATATCAGATTAATAATGCATGGGAAATGAGACTGCTAAAATTATAGATAATATGTTAAGTGTTTTAATTATTTAGGAAAAGAAATGATGTAGCATTACAATTTAGAACCAAAGCAGACTGTAATTTTTATATTTAAAAATAACAATCAGTTTCTGCAGTCCTAGGCTTACATTCATAATGCTCTCAGTGAATACACAAAGTTGATTACAATTTCTACATTATATGACAAGAAAATATAACCATTAAAAAGATCTGTTGAAGGAACTCACGACTCTACATATTTTAATTTAATGCTACAAATAAAAATTACTGCCTTTAAGCTATTGATATATTACTGTATTAAATTATTATAGAACTCTGTAATAAAATTGTAGTCATTGGTATAACTACTAATATAATTTATACCATTAAAAGAAGAAATAAATGTATTAGTTTAATGTTGTACATTTTGTGGGGGTTATATATAGGGTGAGAAGCATTGAAGAATATATATCTCCTATTTGTCATATTTTCAGAAAAGTTATTATTTTTATCACATATTACTATGTCTTCAATCACATGAAATCCTAACTGTCTATTAAACTAGGACATATGAAATATAAAAAGAATTCCCTCTATGAGTATTGGAGATCTAGTAATATTTTTTTTCTCGAAAACAACTGGAGAATATTTTTAAAAGCTGTTAACATTACTATGTTGGGAAATGTAAAACTAACAAGACAACAATGCATAGTCCCCTTCTTACCCCATTTTAGTTTGTTGTATAAATGTGATCAAGTGGTATTACAAAGATAACTTTGTTTAAATATGTAAATTCATTCTGACTTTTTAATGCCTAAATTTAGGAAATTATTATTATATTAAGAATGATATATTTAAAATGGAGGACCAAAAAGGCTGTTCACTCATCCCTCTGACACAGGGCCTGAAATTGCCTTTTCAGTATTGTGGACTTGCTCTGATGCCATCTTTTGTTCTTTGTTCTTATGATTGTATTATTGTCCTCTGTCTCCTTTTATCTGTGAACTGTACAGGATCTTTGAGAGTTCAGCAATGTAAAATAAATAAATAAATATAAACTAAATCAAGACCCTTGAACTTTGAATATTGTAGAAAGAAATTTGCTGTCAGAGGCATCTCAATTTTCTATCTACTGATCAAACTCGAGAATTGAAATGATAAAAATGTGGCTTGTATTATAATAAAAATATGGTTATAGATATTCATATATATGAAGAACATTTATAGAGCAGGTTATTGTATATTTTTTTATAGTTACATAAATTATATACTATATAGTATATATTAAATTCGGAGTTCCAAACTTTCAAACATTTACTATTATACCTACCAATGTCATAGGCCAGGAAATCCGCAGAAAAACACTTCGCACCATTACTTAATGAAGTGTCATTATGAGTGTTTCCACCAAAAATTAACATTGCTCCATTCATCAAAACAGCCGAGTGGAGATATCTTGCAAAGCCACTTTCTTTTAAAATTGTCCTGTTGAAAAAATGGTGTATGTAAGGTATTAAGGGGAGTCAAGGTAATCTGTGTGGAATAACTATAAAGTAAACAATATTTGTTTAGCCACAGTACTAGCAATCACATCTATTTAAATACACAAAACAAATTTCAAGAATTATATTATGAATAGTATTGAAAGAGGCCAAGAAAGAAACATGAAACTATTCACCCTTTTTTTAAAAAAATCTTATTATCCTGGGGACTTTTAGAGTTAAAATATAACATATAATACATTTATATTAAAATATGAAATAAAATATGAAATTTCATTTATGTGACTTTTTTGCAAATCTAATATTTTCTCTATAATTTTAAGAACTTTTTACAGGAACATTTACACATCTGAATTCATCACCATCAATTTTGATGGTGATATTTGATAATTTTTCTGATACCACCCCTGAGCGAACATATAGAGGACCTTAAGGCCTTAAAACCACCTGCAGTAGCAATGGATCTTCTCTGCCTATGCTACTTTCAAATAATGACTATTCTAAATTTTCTTAATGAATATTGTTACTAATCTTCTATCCTCCAGTTATAACAGTGTGAATGAGTCTTTTATAGCTTACTTTTTTATGGTGGTATCATGCTAATCCAGATGAATTACCACTTTAAAATTATAGTAAATCACAAAGAATCCATGTTTTAATTTGGTTTATACATTATACATGAAGCCTGATATTTTAGTAAAAACTTCTTGATCAAATTGATCAAAGATGATTCTCTGTTCACTGTTTTCTACACTCCTCAATATATCTACCCCATGTGAACTAATATTTCCCACAGTTCTGTCCAAGAGATCGGGGGATATTAAGTTCTATACTGTAGAATGATTTTGTTTCTATTAATACATATATATGAAATCTCTGATCCTCTGGACAGAGTGATAACATTGAGGATATTAGAGTTGATGTTTAACAATATTCAAAATATTTAGCAATATCAACTATTATCTCAGAAAAGAAAACAGGTTGAATCCTATTGCTAGAATACTATTGTTTTCTTTACTGAGTAAAAACAGAGCAAAAAAAATTCACTTCAGTATCAAACTTAAGCATTCACATAATGAATAGCATTCATTTGTTAATCAGTTAATAAAATGTATGAGTATACATATACTACAGGGGTGAGTTCCGGCAGTCACTACAATAAAAATTGTTCTGTGCATGCACAGAAGCAAAAAACAAGATGGTGGCTCCTATGGCGCCCCCCCCAGAGAACCAGTTTGGGGGCATGGCAGGCCTGGGTCATTGCTGGTCCAAGCGACCCAGGCCACTAAACCACTACCGGTTTGGCTGAACCATTCCGAACCAGTAGGAACCCACCAGTGATATACTATAAATATACATACACACATATTCATACATATATTAAAAAGATTTACCATGTTCTAGTATTAACTTCATATTTGTAAAGATCATCAACCAATCCATATTTATTACTGGGCAATGCTTTGTAGCCTCCATGAACATATACAGACTTTGTTGTATCATCATAGACACTGGTATGGCCATATCCACCTTGTACTATTGCTCCTTTTGTTTCTGGTACAAGCCAAGAATTTGATCCTAAAATATAACAGAATAATTATTAATGTAACTGTAATATAAATGCATTCCTAATTTACTAATTCCTATATTATAATCAACATGCTTAGAAAGCAAGAAATACATTTTATGTTATTGTTTATATTTTATTCCCAAAGTTAAATCAAATTTGTTGAATGTTGATGTACAAAAGTATATACAATATCAAAATTATGAACAGAATATGAAGTGTCTTAAAAATGATATCCTTAATATGATCTCCTAATAATTCAATCAATTCAAATTGCATACCCATTTCAAAATTATATCAAATAAATCAATGATATATCATTGATATCTATTATCAAATTAATAACCAATACATGTTCTACTGTTGGAATGTTTCAATAAATCTCATGGAGAAAATCTAATATAATCCTGACAAAATGTTTAGGCACTTTGACAAGTTTGCACATAATTTGAGGGTGAGTCAGTGGACAAAATCTAAACCAAGCATTACAATATAAGGCATCTGGGATGGGATGGGATAAAATGGAGATGGAGATGATGGAGATAGAGATAACTTTTATTGTCATTTTTACTATGTGTGTGTGTGTGTGTGTGTGTGTTTGTGCATGCGCGTGCGCATTTTAAACACAGTAGAAAGAGGAAACTTGACAGTTCACATGGTTGATACTATATGGAACAAAACTACAACTGAATCTAGACAGATAAGATGTCATTACCAAAAAATGCATGTCATGATATGTATGCATAAGCCATATTGTGATTTGGGGGTGGGGGGGCTTCTGGCCTAATCCGCTGTCCAAATCAGCCATGGTAGTTTTTAAAACAAGAAAAATCATAAATTTTACTGTGTCTTAATATGTTTATTTACTAAGTGTATGTGCTCTTTATAATTAGAAAAAGAAACTAATATTGAAACTTTTCCAGCTTCAATTCTATGTAAACAAATCTAGGAATCTGTGTAAAGAAATATCAAACATACAATCCATCTTTATCATCACTGTTGTCCTCTCTTTTTGTTTTGTGCAATAAATAATGATCATTGATATTTTGTGTCCTATGACAAACTAATCACCCAATTTATTTTTCAGTCAGATTAAAAAATAAAGGCACTGCTAACTTTTTCAGCTAAATACACTTAATATACACTTCAAAAATGTGTTTACTGTTCTTCAAACATCAAGCACCTTTGGGTATCATGCTAAAGCAAATGAGCTTTCTTTCACCTTCTCTGACTATTGTTAATACAATGGCATTCATGGACCATCTAAGAATCTTTGAAGTTCTCAGTAGGAGAACTATATGCATGTTTTTATTAACTTGCACCATAAAGTGTTTCTGGACAAATCCACTAGAAAATTTATTTTTCTTAGTTTTAATAAGACTACATACATTCTGTAACAGTCTCAGTGTGAGTCTCGGAAAAATACATAGAATATTATTACTTTTCTTTAGCAAAAGAAACAGTGTTTTAGTAGCTTTAGAAAATTTTGAAAATCAATTTCTACTGCATAGACTTCTTTCAATTAGTAACCATATGGTGTCTGCTCTCATTGTCAAAAACTTCTGTAGATTAAAAAGAAAATAAGAGCTGTATTGGCTTTAAACAAACACTGCTCCCACCATTCCTCTTATGAAAGTAATATGGTTCCCTCTGCATTCCCATGGAAACTTCACCAAAATGTCTCAAAGAAAAAATAAATTAGAGAAATGTAAGGGTGCTTAAGTTTAATTTATTTTTACAAGATACTCCACAACTCTTCTTCAGTTTCATCCTTGTAGGGTATATAAATCAAAGTGGTAATTGTATTATTGTGTATATTGTTTTCCCATGTTGAATTAAATCTGTTTAAAGTACATGGATCTTGCTTTACCTGAATTGGTGTTTAGAAATCAAGAGTAATAAGAAGATTAATGCCACTATTGAAACCAAGGGCTTTTACAAAACCAGAGGACTGGAAGGGATCTGGAGGTTTACTATCAAATAATTGCCCATTGTAGGAATCCAAAGACAATCTAGACAAATAACTGTCTTACTTTACTTGATGTTCCAATGAAGGAGAACCATGACTCTAAAAGGCAGATTGTTCCACCGTTTAATAGCTCTTGTGGGCAGGAAATTACTCTTTATTTACAATTGTCTCTCTGCGAAGCTTCCATTCATCATTTTTTACTGCCTTCAAGTATTGGGGACTGTTAACTCTCTCCTAGTTTAGTCTTCTTTAAGCTAAACAATCCCAGTTCCTTTGATGCTTATTCATAGAACGTTGCCTCGAAGTCTCTCACTATCTCTTAGTCTTGTTTCTGATCTTTCCAGAACCCTTTTTTGTAAAATATTAACAAAAACTGGAAGAGCAGTCTGACCGGGATAGTATAGCACAACTATCACCTTCCATGATTTCAAAAAAAAAATATCTATCAATACAGCCAAAGGTATCATTGGTGTTTTCAGAATATGTAGCATCCTGTTGGCTAATCTTCCAACTCTGTTAATTGTCTACCAGGAAATCCAAGATTCTTTCTGCCTTTCTAGGAGTTTCCCAGATAATTATGCCAATCTGAATGGTCTGCAGTTGACTGAGTCCACTTTTCTCCTGTTTTCCTAAAGACCCAAAAACATTAGCTCTTCTTCAACTTTACGGCACTTCTAGGATTTCTCAAAGATTATGATAAGTCACATCTGCCAGCTCCTTAACATCGTGGGATATAATAAACAACAGTTGGTACAAATAGGGTTATTTGTGTATCCATGGATCAGACCTGTAAGTGTCATGCCATATTATTTCTACAGGATTTGCATTGTTTACTATCTGGATTACAACTGCAATTCAGCGTGCTTAAGCCTTACATAGTTTAGGATATATGTAACAAAAACAAAAGCCTAATAAGAATCTCTATTCATTGGTACATCTGGCAGGATTATCTAAATATATATATTCTTTGGAGGTTTCTACTTATGGAATATCTAATCCCTAGAGGGGCGGATGGTCTCACCGCTCATGATGTTCTAGAAAGAAAATCTGATTATTCAGGAAAATCTGTGTAGGGCTAATCTATTGAGAGATACATAATGCCATGAATGAATGTTGTATGAGGATACTTTTTTTATTTGTACAACAATGTATTCTTTATTGAATTATTGATTTTAATTCTTTATTCTATTTGACTTGGGAAATATTCAACTGTTAAGAGCAATTAACGCAGTATAAAACTCAAATAATTTTATGAAAGAAAACATACAAAGTTGTACTATTAAGATAAGTGGTAGAACTTCCAGTTCAAAACCATAACACAATAACAGCAGGATTTAAAATTAAGAGCATGACTACTGTTCAAAGATTTTTATTTTCTTAACAGGGTCAAACTATCATACAAAAACAATATCTATTACTATTCAGAGTTTTCCAATCCGCTTTCTTTGTTGCTTTGTTCCAAAACTCAGTTTGTACTTAGAGTCACCATCTGGAATTTTAAAGTTTAAAATCATCCAACTGCTGTAGGTCTAAAGATAAATCCTGTTCAGGAATTCAGGAAAACATCGTACAAAATGCATTAAACCTTAATGGAATAAAACTACAGAAATAAAATGAAACATAAAAATGATCAATCTCAAAAAAATAAACTATAAAGTAGAGACAAGATTCTGCAAACTAAACCTTTGTAAAACAAATGAATACTTACAAAAATATCCACTGGCACTGGTAATAAAAAAAACTCTTAGCCACAATTCTTAAATGTCAAACTCTACTTTCCTGTATTAGTGTGATTAATATTTGATGCTGACAATCTATTATCATTGTAAAGAAATATACACAGTTGACAATAATCCTGAATAATAATAACTGCTAACTATGCAATTTTTTGCCACTATTAATAGTTTAAAGCCATGAACTGAAATTTATTAAAATGTGCTTTGGAGTAGAATCTATTTTATAAATTGTTTACTAATACATATGTTCTATAATATTTTTAAAGAAGTTATAAAGCAGAATCAAGACCTAAATTTCAACTTTAGCCCTAGTAATAAACTATTCAGTAGACAATGATATTTTTATTTCTGTTGTTAAATGACGCAGAAGTTAATTTAGCCAACCATGTATCTTCCATATAATGCTGCTTGGAATTCGTCCAAGGACACTATACTTAGCAATATAATTTTAACAATGTTAACTATTAATGAACACTATAGTACCACAATAACAAGTTACTTGTGGCATGATTCTCACAGTGTTCTTATTTTTTCAGTATTTAGCAATGAAAATTAGAACTATGCATGGTCTGAAAGTGATTTAGAAGAAGCACTTCATGTTGTATGTGAATGAAGACCTCTCTACTATTCATTAAAGCAGTCCAACTTTTCTCAGGTTTCTGTATGAGCTTGAGAAGATCCTATTGTTTTAAGAGCTATATTATTTTTAACTAATAGTTTTGTTAAGTATTTTTTACAAGCTCACCCCAAAGCCTGAAAAAAGCCACATTGCATTAATGAACAACAGAGAGGTAATAAAGTTGAGTACTAGCACATTAAAAACTTATATCTTCAGCCTTTGAGTTCAACTCTCTCTGGCATGGAAGAATTAATGGTCCAATATTTGTTCTTGACTTTTTCAAGTACAGAATTCCAGTGGGAATGTTAGACTTGTACTCACAAAAAATGTATCTAATATTAACATTATTGGAAATTATACATCTCACTAGTATTAACAGTAGACTTTGTGCATAATATTTTTATATTAATAATACAATTCATCAATATCAACACAGCAAACATTATCTCAAAAATATTCCTAAGGGCTTATACTACACCTGAAAATCACTGTAAACAATGCTATCAGTTTTTAGTATTCATAGTTGGATGGGCTATAAGACCTATAAAAAGAAAATAAAAAGGAGCTGCAAGTTGCCCACGTGGGTATTATATTAAAAGTGCAGCAAGAAGTTTTTGTGGTTTTTTCTTTTAATAACTAAGAAATCAGTTGTTATTTCCACAATGTTAAGGCTTCCTTTCCCAGCTATAGTGTAATCAATCATTTCCTCAATTTACCACTGTGGGCATGACTAGAGACTCTTTTTTCAGTTCCATAAATTGGAGATAGGGGAATTATCTTAAAACCGTAGCTGAGAAGGCATAATCTCTTTGCACAGATAAGCATCTCGTGCAAATATCACATTTTCACTTACTTTCTCACATACGCTAACAAGAAAAAGATGGATAGATTCATGGCTGCAGTCTATGTCTTTAACCTAATATACAGCTTGTCTCTTAAAAGCATAATAAATACATATTGTGGATGTTATTCTTGATGGACAAAGCGAATCTTCATATTCAGAGATAATACCCATGTGAATAACAGATGCTAAAGAACAACACTAGAGGAAAGTTATCATGGTATGTTTATGGGCATTCCAAAGGCATATAATTTGGCAAGGGGAGAAGCAAGATACTCAATTATATAAAACTTTAGTTTCTTCTGATGTTGCTTTTTTCCAATAACTTACATTGTTAGATCATTATTATTTTTTGTCTCAGCTTAACTATAAACTGCATAATGCACTTATTGCTGTTCATTATTCTTATTTCTAAAATTAGCACACTACAGCATTCAGGCAATGACTGCAGACAATCCGGCTAATGAATAGACAATTACTAGTATTTAGTCCATTTAATTGTTATAAAAAGATAATAACTGAAATTTAAATTATGCTTATTGGTACTGGCTATTGTCATAATCCTGCTTACTTAAAAATGAATCATATATGACTCATTGGAATAAACACTGCAGCTATCAATTAGACTTGAAAGTATCCTATGAACAACTTTAAAAAATAATAAATACCACAGAACTTTATAAAGAAATACAATTCTTTATATCTGCATTATATAATACAGAAGAATTCATTTCAGTATTGTTACAACAAAAATGTTGTCTAGAAAAAAAACCCAGTAAATTACTGACTCTTTTTAGCTCAGAAGTGAACAAAATTGGAACAGTAGTGCATCCTGCTGGATTGTAGTGAAACTGCGGAGTTCAAAATTGTACACTATTATTATTAATTATTCATAAAAGCACAATTTATATCTTCAAAAATACATTTAAATGATATCAAGGGTGGTAAAAACTGAATTATTTCTTTGAAAATTAAGGAGGTGGAATCAAGTATGTTAATGTTAGTAATATTAAGCATCTCTTTCCAAAAAACAGATTGAATGCAGGATTTTCCATGTATTGCATAGTACTGTATTTTTCGGAGTATAAGACGGCCCTTTTTCCCTCAAAAAAGAGGCTGAAAATCTGGATGGTATACCCTTCAGCAAAATGGCCATGCAGAGCCTTTAAAAGGCTTTCAGAGAGCTCCTGGGGGCTGGGGAGGGCAGAAATGAATGAAAAACGGACCATTTTTTGCTCAATTTTGCCCCTCCCCAGCCCCCAGGAGCTCTCTGAAAGCCTTTTAAAGGCTCTGCATGGCCATTTTGCTGAAGGGTATACCATCCAGATTTTCA